AGCCGCCCTCTCCGCCCTTGCCCCGAAGCCGTCGGGAGAGGGCGACCGAGTGCTTGGCATGGTTCCACTTCCTGTCAAGCTGTGGTCGCGGGCGCGCCAGACTTTCACGCCGCAGTGGTGCCCCAAACGTGCCCCGTTCTGGGACACAACCGTCAGAGGCTCGTCGGCCCTTCGAGCTGCCTTTCTCAGGGCTGCCCTCGACGAGGCGGCCCAGGAGCAGAAGCTGAGCTTCCTGGTCCTCCTCCTGGACATCGAGAAGTTCTACGACAGCGTCTCGCTGGTTGGCCTGCTCCAGATTGGCCTGGACTTTGGCTTCAGCCCGACCGTCATGGGCCTCGAGGTGCAGGTCTACCTGCACCCGCGCTACTTGAGGGAGCGCGGCTGGCTCAGCGAGGCGATCTTCCCGACGCGCAGCATCGTTGCTGGCACGTCGCACGGGGCCCCGTTCTCCAAGCTGGCCCTCTACCCCATTCTTGAGAGGGTCCACCGGGAGGCCCCGTCGGCGCCCCTCTGGACGTTCGTTGATGATACGGCTGGACGCTGTGAAGGAACGGCTGAGACCGTGCTACCTGTTATGGATCGTATTGGGACTTCTTTGGCCCGAGGATTGACGCAGAAGCGCTTGGTTGTCTCCTCCAAGTCAGTTATCCTGGCCAAGAAGTCGGCGAAGAGACTACGTGCGAGAGGCGTGCCTGTCAAGCCAGTCTCCCAGGGCGTCGACCTTGGCATCGACGTGGCGGCTGACTCGCAGGGTCTGCGCCGAGACCCTTGCGCGGCGCATCAAGGCGCAGAGACGAGCTGGGCGCATCAGGCGGCTCAGGCGCACGGCTGCCCTTGCTCGTGAGGCTCGCTGCCTTTGGGCCACTGGCGCGTGCCCGCAGTCCACTTACGGGCACCAGGTCCACGGCGCTCCGCCGTCGGCCTTGCTGGCACTGCGACGGCAGCCTGCTGCTGCTGTGACGGTTGGCCAAGGCGGGCGCTGCCTTGCCAGCACTTTGGCTGCTTCCTTCGGCCTGAAGGACCCTGCAGTGGAGATTCGTCGGCAGCAGGTTCTTGAATGGCTTAGTTTCTGGCAAGCCCAGCCTGAGGTACACCGGCGTGTCAGATTGGCGCGGCCTTCGATTCGGGCCCGGCTCCTGAAGGCTGAGAAGAGGCGCTGGCGCATCGTGAGAGGCCCGATCTCTGCGATTATTGCGACGCTGCTGGACGTGGGGTGGGATCCTACGACTGCTGGTGTTTGGACCCGCCCCACTGCTACGGGAGTTGATGAGTGGCATATACCTTCGAGCGAGGAGGAGGCGTTCGAGCACTTCGGGTCGACCACGGAGCTGGTCGACGATCTCACGTCCGACATCCGCTCGGCCATGTGGACGGAGGCCAGCAAGCATGACAACGGTGAGGGCCTCGATGGTGGCGGCGATTTCTTTCACATCATGAAGGAGCTCAAGCGCCTCTAGGCCCGTAGCCAGTACGATAAGCATGCATTGAATTCGACCGTGGTGGCGGGAGGGCGGTGGACTCGTTCGCGGAGGCATCTCTGTGGATGCAAGATGGAGTCGACGACCTACCCACGCCGCAAGAAGCACCCTGAGACCTTGTTCCACAGGATTTGGTCTTGCGAGTGCAACCGCGACCACGACGACTACGGCAAGACCTCCTCTCTGCTACCTGCGGCGACTGCGCAGCATGAGAGCCAGCCCACTTTCTGGCTCCGTGGAGCCCCTACTGTCTGCATGGCCACGCCTCGGTTCGACGAGGCGCTGCTGGCCGAGCTTGAGCTCAGGCTGCCAGGCGCCTTTGAGGAATGTGAGGAAGGGGGTGGACGGTGGTGCACGGGGACGGGTCGGGAGGGAAGCACTCGGAGGATCCCCGTCGGCGCCGCTGTGGTGCTTCGATCGTGGCCCTTGCTCGGAATGAGGAGGGCGAGTTTCAGGGGCGTGCTGGCATTGCGGTTCCCCTCCTTGGGGCAAAGCAGTCTGCCCCGAGGGCCGAGTTGCTTGCTGTTTGCCTCATGCTTGAGAATGTTTCAGGTAATGTTGAATTCGTTACTGATCATAAGAATATTGCCAGGTCTTGGGAGCTCACCCTTGAGAACCCCAGGGCCTCTCGCCTCCAGGAGGATCGTTGGGAGCGTGCTCGGAAGTCATGGAGAACCAGGCCTGGCCAGTTAACTGTGGGGTGGACCCCATCCCACACTGATGAGAGAGCGAGTTTTAACAGTGAGCAAGAGATGCTCACGGCCATGGGTAACATGGCTGTGGATATCTGGGCGGGGAGGGCGGCGGAGTTGGCTTGGGAGAGGGGGCTGGTGGGGGCCCTTCCTCGGACCGATGCGGTCGATTCTGCTGCTGCGATGATCAGGAGGCGTGCCCGTCGCGCGCTTCAGGATGCTGCAGCCTTCGAGGAACCTTCGAAGGCTGAAAGAGAGGCGGTGCCCATCAAAGCGGTGCCGAAGTCCAGAGTAGTTCGAGCTGTCGCTGCCTCCGCCCACCGCCTCCACCTGAGGGGCTCGGTGTGCGTTTGCGAGGCTTGTCTCCAGACTGTGCCCAAGTCCAGGCTCCTGGAGCTGAGCTCGAGCCCGTGTCACCCTCCTCCTCCTCCTCCTCCTCCTCCTCCTCCTCCTGAGGCTCCCGTCCTTCCTAGGGTTCCGAGGATCGCTCAGGGAATCGGCTTGAATCTGCAGGGAGTTAAAGTCCACCCGTCGCACTCGCTCGGCCGTGCGGACCAATTCTTCCTGACCTTTTATCACACCTGCGGGGCCTATGCTACCACGGACCCCCGCCATCTTATTGCTGAATGTCGCCCGAGCCGGAAAAGGCTCGGAAAACTTGGCCTTTTTGGGCAAGGGCCTTTACCCTCGTCGTGAAGGGCCCCCGAAGGTTGTTAAGATGGCGATGCAGGCTAGTGAAGAGTTTGCCGCCCGTCAAAGGCGGCAGCGTGTGAGCGGAGCTGGTTCGTCAAGCGAGCCTGGCCCCGCCCCCGCTAATCTTCAGGATGCGCCCGCGGGTCCTAACCCCTAATCCCCGAAGGTGCTGTCCTCTGTAAGCTGCCCCAATATTCTCCCTGTGAGTCTGGGGCCTTCTGCCCGCAACACTGTTGCCCCGATTGAATCCCAGCTTGAATCCTCCTCCTCCTCCTCTTCCTCCTCCCCTTTCGGAAGGATGGTGCCGCAGGCGGGCAGTTTGGCGTTCCCTTCAGCTGTCCAGCGGTCGGCCAGTGGAGCGCCATTTCACCGTCGTCTGTCACCCTTGACGTTGGCTCGCATCGGTTCTTGTCTTGTCTTGTCGTGTCTTGTCTTGTCTTGTCCTCCTCCTCCTCCGTCTCCCCCTCCTCGGCCTCCACCTCCTCCTCCTCCTCCTCCTCCTCCTCCTCCTCCTCCTCCTCCTCTTGCCGCGGCGACCACTCGTCGTCCTTCGTCCCCGCCTGAACTGGAAACGAAAAGAAATGGGACGAGGACCGACGGCGGTTCCTGCCCATTTCTGAGCGGGCCAGCGGTCGAACACGGCGCGGGCGCTGTCCTTTGGACCTCAAGAGGTCGCCTGCCCAGCATCGGCCAGACGCTGTCGGTTTTGGACAACGTTTGCTGTTCGGCACCGTACCCATGGTTTCCGAACCCACTTCTCATGGCGCCAACATCGCAGAGCGGATTTCGTTCGAACAACAATGGGATGCGCCCGGATTGTCCTGGAGAATTCCGTCCCAGATTTCGAAGTGAATTGTGTGCAATTTCTTGGGCCGGGAATGCAGTTTACCCACAAATCCACGTGAAACGCACTTCGATATTCGCTCGCCGTTTCGGGGCTTTGCATAGGCAGGAATACATGCATCAATCTGCTGCAGCACGTCTGCAAGGTCGGTGCGGTGACCATGTTTTCCATTTCGGGCGTGCCAACGAGCGATGGCCCCTCCGAATCGCAGGGAGCCTCCGAAGGTCGAGGGTCTTCTCGCCGCCCCGCCGTCGATGGCCGCCCGAGAACCGCCGAGGGCCGCCGAAACCACTCTTGCTTTCTCTCTTTCTCTCTCTCGGCGGCCTCGCCTCTCGCCTTCGCCTGGCACTCCCGTATATAGACAACAAAGTGGAACCCTTGGCTCCGCTCCCCCCTTTCCCCCCTCAGTTCAAAGTTGACCTTGGGCATTCGGGAGCACATGCTCGAAAGGACAACAAAAGTAGAACCCCTAGGGCCTCCAGCAGGCCGGACGCCAATCTTGAGTCTGGGGGGAGGTGGGGGAGGGGGGGCGAACACGGGGTCGAAGACGAAGGGCTCCACTTTTTTCGTTCCCCTTCCTGTCCCTCTGGCAAGGGGAGGACGGAGTGTTGCCCGAGGTGGCTCTGGCCCAGGGTGCCCCCGAGCGTTCCCAGGCAGGCCCCGGCGGCCTCCAGAGCACCCCACCACGAGGCCCAGGCGCCCCCGGGGCCCCGACACTGCGCTTAAGTCGGGCACGTCCCCCTACAGGCAGATTTTCGACGAAACAAACACTTGCAACAAATACGCAAGAATTATCAAAAATATGAAAAAAAATCGTCCCCGTATTATTTGTTGAGTATTCCCCCTGTAGAGGGACATGCCCGACTTACACACTGCGCCCAAAGCTGGGGGGGACCTGGGGCAGGCACCACACTGGCAGCTTCCCACAGGATGGGGAGGATCGAAGGAGAAACAATTGCGTACAGTGGAGACCCAGGCCAAGAAACACCCTGCCTGCCTCCTGGGTGCCCTGGGTTTCTTGGGCCTCGACGGTTTTGCGATGGAAAGCGTGACGCTTCCACACCGAAAATCAGTGGGCGTCCTGGGGTCTCAGGGTTGGATTTCTTGCGGGAGGTTTCTTGTGGACTGGCCTCAGCTGTAAGCACAGATTTTCGAAGGTCCGCGCGGATTTCTCGGATCGGCGCAGGGCCCCCCTGGCGGCTCCTCCGGCGCCGTCCCCTCCACGCGCCAGGGAGGAGGGTTCAGCGCAGATCCACGAAAGCCGCGATTGGGAGGAGCCCCCCATCGTGACAGGCTGGTGCTTTTGACAAGGCGGTGTCCGTGGTGTGCCCGTGGCGATACGAGCTGCGAGATCAGCTGCCGCGCGGCGCCGCCATCTGCAACCCTCTCTCGTGGCCCGGCCACGGATGGCCGAGGCTGAGTAGGAGGAAGGAGGACAACGTGCAGGAGTAGAGCAGGCACTCGACTAGACGTAAGAGTGGCCCTTCGCCGGAGTGACCCCCCGCTCGCCGAATGCGATGCGATAGCTTCGTCGTACGCGCTTGTGTTCGGCCCCCCCGTGGCCCCCAAAGCCGCGCACCAAAGGCCACTCTTACCCAGGATCACTCTTGCGTGCAGCCGAGGCACGTACATTAGGGGTCCTGGACTGCCAGCAGGTGCCCCATGGACATCTCATATCTTCCGACGGCCTCAGGGGGGCCCGCGGAAGCCCCGGGGCAGCCTTAACAGGACCCTCGGCGCGATCGATGAGGAACTCGCACCAGTCACTGTCGGAGCAGGATGTCTCGTCGCGCGTGCCAATCATGGGAGGAGGGTCGGGATGGGAAGGAGGAAGATGGATGAGGACTCCTTGGAGGCATATGCGGAGGTGCAGAGGATGGTGAAGAAAACGGGGAGGAGGACGGGAGGAGTTGGGAGTGGGAGCATAGGGGATCCCGTGGAGACAAAAGGAGCAGGAATGAGAGAAAGAGAGTGAGAGAGAGAGAGAGAAACAAAAAAGATGAACAGGTGGATGAGGGGGACGAGGAGGACGAGGACAAGTGCAAACCCAAGACGCCCCTCCCTCCAGGCTCCCTCTTCACAGGCTCCTACAAGGATTTGTTTCGACTGAGGGAAGTCCCTCGTTGGGAGACGACCGCTTGAATCTAGTGAAGCGTGCCATAGCACCCTTCTCGGGACTTCAGCGCAATGAATTAACCTGACAGTTGCGCTCTCGCGATCCTGAATCGTTGCAGAACGCCAGTCCTAATCCATGTAAAGCTTGCGCCCTGACAGTCCTGAATCGCTCCAATTATTATCTCTGTTTGGTACGTTAATCATGAGAGCCCGTGAAGCAGTTGCAAATATGTGAAGAGAATGTGCGCGGCGCTAAGGAGACATCCACACTTTGAAAAGAGCCCACCGTCAATCCGTGCAGTCCTTGCAAATTGTTACGACGAGTGTGCGCGGCGCTATTGCGTGAGCCGCATGTTGAAAAGGAAGCACCCTCAACTCGTGGAACTCTTGAGCATGTTTAAATCGAATATGCTGGGCTCTGACGCAAGAGCCGTAATTTGAAACGAAGCCACCCTCAATCCGTGCAGCCCTTGACAATTGTTAAGACGAGTGTGCGCGGCGAAGAGCCGGCAACCACATGTTGAAAAAGAGCCGCTCTCAATCCGTGCACCCCTTGCAAATTATTAAGACGAGTGTGCGCAGCGCTGAGGTATGAGCCACATTGTGAAATGGAGCCGCCTTCAATCCTTGCAACACTTGCAAGTGTTTGAGACAAATGTGCGCGCCGCTAAGGCGAGAGCCACATTTTGAAAACAACCCACCCTCAACACGCGCAATCTGTGTATTTTTCAAAGACGAGTGTGCGCGGCGTTCAGGCGAGAGCCACAGTTTGAAAACGGCCCCCCCTCAATCCGTGAAAAGGTTGCGAAAGTTTGCGGCGAATGTGCGCGGCGTGAGAGCGAAAGGCACATTTTGAAAACCACCCGCCCTCCATCTGCGAAACTGCTGCAAATTGTAAGTTTCAAGATCATGAGTGGTAAGGAGGTCTCAGGGGAAACGCCTGGCCCGCCCTTTCGACTGGCCTCGGGGCCCAACTGGGAGGAGTTGTTGATAAGGAAAAGGGAAGACGAGAAACTGAAGGACATAAGGGCGGCGCCCAGTGTCGCATCATGGAGATATCCTGGAGGGTGGTGCGTGAGGAGTCAAGGGTTCATGTGGGTCTCGGCTTTTGCTGCATCAGGTCGTCGGGTTTGGGCGAATAATTGTGGGCAAAGCTGAGGATTCGAGGCTTCACCGCAGGCTCAGGAATGAAAGAGCCCAACGAACTCCAGTGGGCGCGGGTGCTGGCGACGGCCATGGTTTCTGTGGCATAGTAGAAGGCGCCATGCTTGAGATCACAGTCCGATGGGCTTTGGAGGGGACGGTGGTGGGGAGGGAGGGCCAGATAAAGGTGCTGTTCCCCACTGGACAGGTATCCAAACATTTAGAAAAATAGGATGTGGCTCCGCTGCAACCAGGCGTCCAGGTTGAAGGTACGTACCGGTGCTGGGGTTTGCGTGCCGGAGTGGCGAATGGTGTCGGCTTTTGGCGTAGCCAAGGGCCTCCAGGCTGTAAGGCTGATACTCATGACCTCTGGATTGGTTGTGGCAGAGAAGGGATCAGGCACATGAGGGATAATAGAGCTCCAGATGCACTGAAGCACCAGGTCGGAAGATAGAGTTTGGAGGCTTCCAGATTTCGCAGCCCCCCAAACGCTGCGGTGACCACACTGCGTGGTTAATCGTGAGGGCTCGTGGCCACCGCACTGTTTCGGGATTTAGGTCGCTCTCCGAGGACGTCTCGAGCGATCGGGGCCTCCAGGGTTCAAAACCGTGCGGGGACGGACCGTGCGGTGAGATCTTTGGTGGTTCCGAGGTCACCGCAGTCTGTCACGACACATTTTTTGAGACTCCCAAGAGGTTCGAGGCTTCCAGATTGGATGGGCCTCGCGTTGCAAGGCAGACCGCAGGTTTTTCGGACCAGCGCTGGACGCGCCCTAACCTCAGGTCAGGTTCTGTCGGAGCGACTGGGCCTTTTCTTCTGCCGCTGTATGCTCTGAAGCCTTCAGGGCTGCAGCCCGGTGGAGGAGGGAAGCCGCACGGCGTTGGCAGCCAAGTGGAGGAGGGCAGCCCGAACCAGCGCCAGTCCTAGAGTTCCGACGATGTGTGTGTGTGTGTTGTCAATTGGCGGTTTTCCTCGATTTCGGCCTCTGCTGGTTCCTGGGCCCCGAGACCATCAACCATGCACCTGGGACGGGAAGCTGCCCCCTGGAAGCGGTCGGGACCTCCGGAGCCGCGGATTTGAAGACGGGTCTTCCCCTCGTCCTCACCCTCGATGCTCGACTCCGCCGCGAGGTTCCCTGGACACGCTGGGGAGGAGGCACGGCGTGCCGCGGAAGGGCATGGCCCACACTGCGGGCAGCGACGCGCTGCTGACGCTGGAGCTGTTCCTGCTGATGCGAGAGGCTCCAGGGGCACCCGGGGGCCCCCGTCTAGCAGGGAAGGAGAGGAGGAGACGGCAGGATCATGAGGAGGGAGGAGATGTCGGGCGGGGAGGATCATGGAGGGGAGAGGACGAGGAGGGAGGGAGAGATGGAGACAGGAGGAGGGAGAGGTGAAGGAGGAGGAGTGGCACAGGCGTAGGGGGGAGGGCCGGTGGAGAGGAAAGGAGAGGAACAGGAGAGGGAAGGGGGGAGGAGGAGAAGGAGGTTGTCAAGAGGTTCTAGATGGAGATTATCCCAGTGCGACCCTACCTAGGAGTTGGAACCCCTAGGAAAGCAGCATTAGTAGTAACAGTAACGCTTAAGCTAAAGCTAAGCTAAGCTAAGCTAAAGCTAAGCTAAAGCTAAGCCACAGTTAAGCTAAAGTTAAGCTAAGCTAAAAGCTAAAGCTAAGCTAAAGCTAAGCTAAAGCTAAGCTAAAGCTAAGCTAAGCGAAAGCTAAGCTAAAGCTAAGCTAAAGCTAAGCTAAAGCTAAGCTAAGCGAAACGCTAAGCTAAAGCTAAGCTACAGCTAAGCTAAAGCTAAAGCTAAAGCTCTAAAGCTCCCAGGGGACTGGGGGGAACCGCTCCCAGGGGACTGGGGGAACCGCCCGGGGCGTGTTGCACTGCCCGGCCCCTTTAAGCTAAGAGAGTAAGAACCTTTCTAGGCAGAGCCTAGGTAGGGAATTAGGGTGTAGGTTTCAGGCTGATGGTGAGGAGGAGGACGCGGAGGTAGTGGAGGGAGGAGGGAGGAGGACAAGCGAGAAGTCAGGCGTGAGACGGATGAGCAAGACAAATCTGAAGATGAGGGCCGTCAGAGGTTTCAGTGTTTTGTCGAGTTCAGGCGCTCCCCCAGGGCTCTGCTATAGGGTTCTGCGTGGATGAGTCTTTGTGCAAAAAGGGCAAATTGGGAGGAGGCAGCAGGAAGATGGACGAGGAGGAGGAGGAGAAGGAGGAGGAGGAGGAACATATCCCCGCCCCTCTCCAGACTGAGGAGGGGGTCAGAGGCGGGGGTGTGAGGAAGAATGGGAGGGTGAGGAGGAGGAGGAGAAGGAGGAGGAGGAAGAATAGTGTAAACCCAAGAGTCATCAACGATGTTGGAATGAACTCCCCCTCCAACGGTTCACTTCCACTGAGGGAGCTGCCTCGTTGGATGACAACTGCTTGAAGAGTCTGAAGCGTGCAACAACATTACTCTCTGGACTCCTTCGCCACGGATAAACCTGACTGGTGCGCCTCGGCGATCCTGACTCGCGCCAGAACGTCATTCCTGGAACTTCAACACCGCGAATCAAAGTAATTGTTGCACCCTCAGGATCCTGAATCTTTCCAAAACGCCATTTCTGGTACGTTGACCACGGGAATCCGTGAATTATCCCAGTGCGACCCTACCCAGGAGTTGGAGCCCCTAGGAAAGCAGCATTAACAGTAACAGTAAAGCTAAGCTAAAGCTAAGCAAAAGCTAAGCTAAAGCTAAGCTAAAGCTAAGCTGAAGCTAAGCTGAAGCGAAGCTGAAGCTAAGCTAAGGCTAAGCTAAGGCTAAGCTAACACTAAGCTAAAGCTGAGCTGAAGCTAAGCTGAAGCTAAGCTAAAGCTAAGCTAAAGTCAAAGCTAAGCTAAAGCTAAGCTAAAGCTAAGCTAACGCTAAGCTAAAGCTAAGCTGAAGCTAAGCGAAAGCTAAGCTAAAGCTAAGCTAAGGCTAAGCTAAAGCTAAGCTGAAGCTAAGCTAAAGCTAAGCTGAAGCTAAGCTGAAGCGAAGCTGAAGCTAAGCTAAGGCTAAGCTAAGGCTAAGCTAACACTAAGCTAAAGCTGAGCTGAAGCTAAGCTGAAGCTAAGCTAAAGCTAAGCTAAAGTCAAAGCTAAGCTAAAGCTAAGCTAAAGCTAAGCTAACGCTAAGCTAAAGCTAAGCTGAAGCTAAGCGAAAGCTAAGCTAACAATAAGCTGAAGCTAAGCTAAAGCTAAGCTAAAGCTACGCTAATGCTAAGCTAAAGCCAAGCTAAGGCTAAGCTAGCACTAAGCTAAATGTAGGCTAAAGCTAAGCTGAAGCTAAGCTAAAGCTAAGCTAAAGCTAATCTAAAGCTAAGCTAACAATAAGCTGAAGCTAAGCTACAGCTAAGCTAAAGCTAAGCTGAAGCTAAGCTAAAGCTAATCTAAGGCTAAGCTAACACTAAGCTAAAGCTAAGCTAACAATAAGCTGACGCGAAGCTAAAGCCAAGCTAAAGCCAAGCTAAAGCTAAGCTAAAGCTAAGCTAAAGCTAAAGCTAAGCTAAAGCTAAGCTAAAGCTAAGCTAAAGCTAAGCTGAAGCTAAGCTAAAGCTAAGCTAAAGCTAGGCTAAGGCTAAGCTAAAGCTAAGCTGAAGCTAAGCTAAAGCTAAGCTGATGCTAAGCTAAAGCTAAGCTAAAGCTAAGTTAAAGCTAAGCTAACGCTAAGCTAAAACCAAACTAAAGCTAAACTAAAACTAAGCTAACGCTAAGCTAACACTAAGCTAACGCTAAGCTAGCACTAAGCTAAAGCTAAGCTAACACTAAGCTGAAACTAAGCTAACGCTAAGCTAAAGCTAAGCTAAAGCTAAGCTAACACTAAATTGAAGCTAATCTAAAGTTCAGCTAAAGCTAAGCTAAAACTAAGCTACAGCTAAGCTAAAGCTAAGCTAAAGCTAAGCTAAAGCTAAGCTAAAGCTAAAGCTAAATCTAAAGCTAAGCTAAAGTTAAAGCTAAGGCTAAAGCTCCCAGGGGACTGGGGGAACCGCGGGGCGGGGACTGGGGGAACCGCCCGGGGCGTGTAGCACTGCCCGGCCCCTTTAAGCAAATAGAGTAAGAACCCTTCTAGGCAGAGCCTAGGTATGGAAATTCCTTCAGTGTTTAAGAGGGGCTGTGCGCGGCGCTAAGGCGAGAGCTACGTTTTGAAAAGGAGCCGCCCTCAACCCGTGAGACTCGTGCGAAGGTTTAAAACAAGTGCGCGCGGCGCTAAGGCGAGAGCCACATTTTGAAACGGCCCGCCCTCAATGCGTGAAGCTCTTGCAATTTTCCACAGCGAATGTGCGCGGCGCTAAGGCGAGAGCCACATTTTGAAAACCCCCCGCCCTCCATCCGTGAAGCTGTTTTTGCCAAGTTTTATGCTACAGGGTCATAAATGGTGAGAACGTATCAAGAAAAACGCCCAGCCCGCCCTTTCGACCGGCCTCGGGGTGCGACAGGGGAGGAGGAGGAGGAGGAGGAGGAGGAGAAGGAGGAGAAGGAGGAGGAGGAGAAGGAGGAGGAGGAGGAGGAGAAGAGGGAGGCCGAAGAAGAGCAGCAAAAGCAGGAGTGGCGGGAAGGGGGGAGAGGGATGTGCCCCCATAATCCTTGTCCTTCTCCTCTTCCGCCTCCTCATCATGCTGCGCTCCCCACCTTATCCGGGAGGCCGCCGTGTGGGCCCGTCCGGGGCTGCCCAGCGGCTACTGGGACCACGAGGCCCGATGTCGTCGTCCGTCGCCGCTGCGATATGTGCGCCGTCTCTCTCATGCGGGGAGTCAGGTCGGGGGGAGGGAGATAGAGGGAGAAGGGCAGGGACGCGGAGGAGGAGGATGAGGAGGAGGAGGAGGAGGAGATGTAGGAGGGAGGTTGGGGTGGGTGGAGGGAGGGGGACTGGGAGGAATCTTCCTTGTGATCCTTCCCCTCCCTCCCTTCCTCTCTCCTCATTCCGCGCGAGCCTTCACACAAAAGTTTCTGCGCTGCTGTGGTCTGCTGCCCTCTTCGCCCCCTCCAACTACAGATTTGGGGGGTGCGGGGGGCAGGGACATGAGTTGGGGAACGAACACTAACATAAACATGAAAGCTCGGAGGTCCGCGCGGATTTCTCGGATCGACGCTGGAGCCCCCTGGCGGCGCCTCCGGCGCCGCCCGTGGCGCGCTCCGCGCGCCAGGGAGGGGGGTCCAGCGCGGATCCGAGAAATCCGCGCGGACCTCCGAGTTTTTATGACTATGTCATTTCTTGTTTCCCTAGTTAGCGAACGCACTCTTCGTAGTCCACCTGTTTCCCACTCAGCTGCAGATTTGGGGGGTGGGGGGGCAGGGAAGTCTGACGCGCGCCCTGCTCGTGGTCCACCTTTTTCCCACTCCTGGCCTCCTGGGAGCTGCTTCCTGCCTGCGCCGCATGGTCAGGTGAGGGGAAGCATCAACGCAGCGTGCACCCGAGCAGTAAGCATTTTGGCCCGTGAGCCGCCTCGCGCGGCGTGCGTCGCAGCCACCGTACTTTTAGCCTTGACCCTTAGATAAGCAGTGCATTTGAGGGGGAGCAGG